ATGCCCTTAAATTCAAATTTGACGAAACTTAAAACCCCCCACCCCTCCCATTTGAAAAATGTTCCCAACGCCTCAGATTCTAATAAATAGAACATAATCTGTGAAATATTTATGATGTAAACTGAATGTGATAGCAAACAATTACAGTAGAACCTTTTAAAAGTCAGTTACTTACCACTAACTTAGGACATCATATAATTCTAGAGGGTCTCAATGGGGTTAACCGATAGCCATGAAACGGCCACAAAAAATCTAACCGTTAGGCGTACAAATTGTCAAATTTTAACCTTTATTCGTAAAAAAAATTAAACCTCAAAAAAAAATTTCTGCTAACAACTAATGGGATGAGTAGTTAAAAATTTCTGGTAACGACTCATGGAATGATGTTAACCGTTAATCGTAAAATAGCAAAAACTTTAACCGTTAGCCATAAAAGCCATCACCTCATTGAGACCCTCCTTTTACTACAGTGAGCCCATAATTCTCAAATGCGACTTGTTTGGCTTTGACCGTGTAGCCTTGGAAAACGAAATTTCCCCGAATTTCGAGAAATCAGGTAATGTTGACATCAAAACTAAATTAAACGGGAAGTAAGCTTGTCACGCTTGCAATTATTTGTTATTTTTTAAAGACAAGGAAGAACGCAAGCCATATATAATTTTTATCATTCGAATCATCGCTTGGTGTTAGTGCCCTCTAGTTGCAAGTTTCTTGCGATTGTCTGAGGAAAAGAGGAAACAAAAAGGTTGAACAGCGCGAATTGCCGTTGGGAGTTTCAGGAAAGTCCCTTCCAGATGTGCGGATCCTACAACGTAACTGTAGTCCAGTCCATTTCCCACACCTCTCTCCCCTCCTCAAAAGAAATATGAAGGACTATTAAGCATAACTATTGATTATTACTGAAAGTCAAGCTACCTCCTCATTTACTTGTTACCATATTTCAGTCACTGGATTAACGCCTTTCAAGGTAAGACCAGTGACGTGGTTATTTTCGAGCAAATTACCGACCCACTCGGTCCGTTTTCTTTTTCTTTTTTTAATATATTATAACAGTTAGTATTTTTTAATTAGATCGTGCAAATCACACTTGCAACAAAATGAAAAGTTCATCAGTGAGTTCAATGGGTCAATTTTCACGCATAGATAGCTTAGTGTTTAAAGACAGAAGCTTTAGTTGTACTCATCGATCTCGTGATGTAAATCCAACCGTTCCAAAAGGGATGAACACTGAAGCTTGAAGTTTCCGGTTGAATGTGTCATTTTGGATGCTCAAATCCATAATTAGTTAGAAAAGTGCGACGTGCCAAACCGAATTACAGTCACTTAGTTTTTTTTAGTTTTTGGCTTCGATCATGCAAACCACACCCGCTAGAAAATGTACAGTTTACGAAGACAATGAGTCTATTATCCCGCAAATAGCGTAGATATCCTGGCGGCTGAAATTTTTTGGCCGCGTTTTAGTAAGTTCCAGAAGAGAGTGCAGTTCTAGTTTGTAACGCTTGAAACTCTAAAAACCTGTGGCAGCACAAAGAGTTCCTTTTAGAGAAAACTAAGGAGAAAAATAGTCACACATCCCATACCAAAAAAATTGATTGAATTTCTCCCTTTTCATATTTAGAATTTCAATCCTTAAACGCACTTCTGACTAAACTTGGCATGCTCCACGGATATCAGCGAATGAACATCTACATTCAAAGCTCATTTGGTGGCCACATTGAATTCCACCAACTGAATTCCAACGTAATTTTATAAATATAAATTCGTGGATAGAAAAACTAAAAAAGCACTGTTTGGGGAAAACAATCAAAACATGATATTCAAGCGATTTAAATGACCAAAGATGCTTCTCTTTTTCAATCATAGCTTAAAAGTGATGATCAAACCACTTAGCGTGGCATGTGGCCATAGTCATTCTAGGATGACTGAAGTCCTTCATCTCGCTGGAAAACATTGCCTCTGCACCAATAGCTCCTTGTTCTGTTTGCTCCCTTCCGCCGCAACAGTCTTCATTCTGATCGGCAAGCCCTTCACTGAACTGACACAGAACTTGTCCTCAGTCGTTATGAAGTTAAACAGTAAATTATTTCGATATCTCCAATTAACCTCTCTTTTCCTCGGTGAATACAACTGTTGATCGTGGAGAAAAGGTAATCAGGTAGGGCTGTGGCCCTAAGTTAAAAAGCGAGTGAGGAAGGCGCAAGAAATGCACAGTTATAATCTCGAATACCAAGCAAACCACTGAGAGATGGGTAGGGCTCAGAGGACGATGATATTTTCGTACCTTGATTTTTTCTCGCATTTTGATTCCTGTTATCCTTGATTTTTTTCTAGCCAGGCATGGGAACCTTTGCAAAGGCGCTTAATGGAGGGAAACTCAACTTACATTTCCGATCATGAGAGATTTCAAGTATCCTAGGTGTTTCAAAAATTAGGGCAATACTATAGCAATTTGCAAATTTTGCAAACTCTTGCCTTCAATACATCACATAAATCCGATATAGGATTTGTAAGATTTGATATCAACGCATGAAGTTTTGCTATTGGTTGCTTTTAGAGGGGTACACTATCACTATACTGTACTTGTTCCTTCTTCGGGAAGAGTGCCAAGGGCTTGTGGCGAATTCTTTCTTCTGTATGTTGAATCATTCCATTTCCATGGTATCTTTCAAGACCTCAGCTATTTATGCAATGTAATATAAACGTTTCAGTTGGCTGAGAAGAGTTTATAGGTGAACTAGCCTAGAAGAAACTACAGCATAATGAGCTAATCGTTTGGAAATATAACATTTGATTGAAAATTCACACTTATATAACTAATAAAATTGTTTCGGATCTGTATTTCAGAAATCCTCTGATCTTCGGGACAAAAATGGCAGCGATAAAAGGTTGATAAATGTTTTTTGCTCTCATCATTAGTAAAATATGTTTATGAATTCACCTCTTCGATGAATCTATGTTGAAGATACTAAGAAAGTACCTATAATCTATATAAGGAGATGGAAATACTCAGATGTATCATAAAGTTATTATGCATGATGTGTTTTCAGGATCGATCGCCTGGAAGAAGCTCTTGAGTCCAACATTTAACAACAATTGAACTGCAAGTAATCTTTTTAGCAATATTAATTAAGTAATTAGACTTAGGGAGGGTAAGATTTTCGAAAAAGCTTTATCTGATGCTGATTAATTCTATAAAAGAATAGTTGATGTGAATCAGTCCTTGCCAGTTACCTAGTGAGTACATTTTTTTGTTCTGCTTTCACCAGTGAAAAACGTTGGTCGAAGCCGCGAGCTTACCGTCTCTCTTCATTTGGTGGCCTTTACTACTAGCCCGCCGCTAAATGTTGATGTAGCTGCAGAATCGTAATTAATCTGGTTTCAACCTCCTCTAGGTGCGTTCACCGCTGGGTTTCACAAGCACGCGTTCGTCGCTTGTGTTACGATATGGTTTAATACAACCGACTATAAAACTTTCGTGACATCCTCTATTATTGATCTTCACTCCTCCATTCTCTTTCAATTTTCCTCGTTGAAGCTCACAAGAACTCACGTCTATTACCTATTGAAGAAGCTTTTAAAATTACTGATTGCGGTTTGACTCATGAGCATGTTTATATCATGATGTTTATTTCTATTTCCCACATTTTTATTACTCCAGTAAAACAACTGAGCTGCCAGAGGATAAACAACGTGAACAGCCTCCTGCGATAACTGCTCCAGGAGTGGTCGTGGCAAGTGAATCGCCCACGGTAATCTGGTCATAATTTTTTTTTAATGCCAACCAACAAATTGATCTTTCATGACAAACTGCAGCTTCATATAATAAAGGTGTTCGTTGCTCAGTTGATGATAGCGCCCAATCAATATCTGGGAAATAAATAATACACACAAAATTAAAATAAAAATAAACAATTTGACTGAGTATTCATCATTGTCAGAGTTATTCAAATGACTAGTTAGCGCATTTGTTCTGGCCCTGTGTGTAGTGAAACTAGTTTCAGTTTAATTTGCTTGCGATCGGTCCTTTAGGTTACCCGTTAAAAGCTCTACTCTTTACTTTTCGTTGTTGCTTTTAGAAGGTTTGAAAATACTGCCTTGTTTGAAGGCGACTCTTAGCATTTTCCATTTGATCAACAGACTCAAGGAACCATGTACCATCATTATGTCGGTGGGAACAACTGTTTGGATGTCCTTTCAAAGAAACAAAATACAAACACTGGCCAAACAGTAAGTACGTTATGAGGAAAGTTTTTAGTGATTTTGGGAAAGTGGAAGACGACACTCTGACTCCCAGGCCAGTTCGAGCTCTCAAACGTTGTCGCGTCCTAATACACATTCCCCTTCAAGACATCACAATCTCATGGTGTTAAACATCCACATTAAGAATATGGATGATCCACATTCTTAAAGTCTTCATAAAATATGCGTGTACCTAACTAAAGAATTCATACGAAGTTAGTAGTCGGAAATCAACGCCAGTTTTGAATCGACGTAAGGCTTACATATAGCTCGGTAGGATTCTTCTTTTTTCCGAGTTTAATTCTTCGTGCTTTCATTCGTCTACAGATGTCTTTGGAATTGGTGTTGCTTTGCCACTTCGCTGATGGCCAAGTTTACGGTACATACTTTGTAATGCAAATTGCAAATAGAGAGAATACATAGCCTGAAGTATTAATTCTTTTCCGTTCTTCAAGCTTTCTACCAATTCCTTAAAACGAACAAGTAACGACTGTTATGACTTTTTTTGGCAATCAGAGTCCTTTGACAAAATTGAAGAGATACGTCTAATATCGGAATTTCTTTAGTAAAATTAAGCGCGTGCGCTCGAGCGGAGTGGATATGTTTTTCTTTCCTTCGTTTGTAACTCATCTGAGACATGGTCAACTCAGAAAAGAAAATCAGAAATTGAGAAACGAATTTGCCGAACTGAAGAAACATTTATAAAAGTTAAGTGTGGAAATTGGTAACAGAACCAAAGAAAATGATCGAGCTACGGATAATCATGGCGACGATTCATCGTCAGAGAGCAAGGCCAAATCGGTTGAATTTGCATCTGCACAGTGCGATGAGCTCCAAGCATTCAGGAAATACACATCTGAAGAGGTATAGAAAAAGAAACTCAAGTTAAATTCAATCTCTATATTCAAATGCTATATTTCTTCATTTCCGTTTTATTTCCGGTGCAATAAAACAAAGTTAGTTAAGAAAAAAAATTGACCAGTCTTGATTAGCAGTAACTATCCGCGGGTCAAAGCAATATCTTGTAAATATGTATGAAAAATATAATATGTACGTATGTATGTATGTATAAAATAAATACGTTGGAACTTTTTTTCGCCGACAGACAGCACAGTTGTCTTTCGATGAAGGTGTACGTGATTTTGTTTGTTTGATTGGAATTGTACGTGGCAACAATTTTGTCAACATACAAATTCTGGATAGGAGAAAAGAACTGAAGCAGTAAAGCTATGATTACTTTTCAGGAACAAGGACATGCTCACTCGCAGTGAACGAAACTAACTCACAGTTACAATAATATGACTACGTGAGCAGCTTAATTTCTTTTGATGGTATTGAATGATCAACGCGCATAAATATCCGGATTAAAGTTTGACAGTTGGATGTCAAACAAGAATTACTAAGTGATATTAAGATGAAGGCTATATAGCCTTGGTTTAAAATATTTGGACCAGCTGTTCTACTGGGGGAGAATAAATTTGGCAGAAATTAAGTTGCACCCAAAGTCAACTTCCTCATATCTTTGTCTATTTATGATTTTTCAAAGATTGCATCTGGATGTTCACTTAAAAACTTCAGGCTCATAAGTTCAGACACAAAAGATGCTTTTTTGTTTGCAAGAAGGTTGTCTCCGAATTAATGTTGTTTACACTATTTTTGTACGGTAAGCCCTTTTTGAAGTGATTTAAATTTTAATATACATTCTGCCCAACCACTGGCTCTTTTACCTGGTTCATTACCTAACTCCATCAAAGACTATGCCGCAAGGGGGGTAATAACCTTTCGGCCATGGAAAAATAATTAAGTATTTCATTTTCATCATCAGTTGATGGAAAATTCAGCTATGTTTGTTGATTTCATTTTCTTAAACATTATTACATTTGAGGAAATATGTAATTAAGCTTTTACTGCCCAAGAGAATTAAATTTCCGTTGTACCTTTATAAAGATAAAAAGTTCCCTGAATGCCATTTAAAACTTGAGCATCGCTAACAGCGCTAAAGGTGCAGAGCGGAACTTACATTTCAGAGTAGATTGTCTCATTCGGTCAAAAAGGCTTAAATTGCTCAAACTGCTCATAAAATCCTCAAGGTCATCAAGGAATTTATTTCTCACTCCCTAACAGACACAAAGTTCGGAAAACCGTAGGTTAGGAGCTGGAAAAAATTTGGAATGCTGAATATGAAACCAATAAGGATTGACGAGGTCGTAGATCCAGGTGCAAAAGTTATAGAAACATAATTAGGTCAAACAGCATAGCTAATAAATTCTATTACAAAATCAAAGGATGAAAAAAAAAAAAAAAAAAAAAGGATGTGAAACGTTCGACGTATGTAAGTAAAAACCAATATACAATATCTGTGTTGGCTTCGCCGTGTTTATTTTACATCGGGTTTATAGGAATCAGTCCTGTTAATACAAGGTTTTAGTTCTGGTACTTTTTGATCTTTTTTAAAATAGGTTAAAAAAGTTTCTAAATGAGCTATATGAAGAAGGTGGTCCAGTTTTTTTCACAAATCCGCTTGTGCTTGCAGACTTTCAAATTCACATAATGGATTCCACTCGATTTGAGGCGAATCGGTGACGCTTTCTAAAAAATACTCGACTCGAGCGACAACAGCAACAACAGTAACTTCGCAGGTTTTCTCGAAATTCTCGGCTGAAAAATGCATAAATTACAGGATTTATCGAAGAGCTTGACATCTGCGCTAAATAACTAATAATTTGCAATACGAAGAACTTTTCATCGAAAACTCCATACACGGTGAGCAAGTCTACAAAGAACTTTGGTCCCCAACAAAATACGAGGCCACAAACGGCAATACTCATCAAGCGAGTGGACTTCACTTTACGTTTAGCAACAGCGATGTGAATTTTACCGTTTTTGCTTCTCTTCCACAAACTAAAAGCAATCTTTGTATAGGCAAAGAAAATATAGATGAAAGGAATAACGAATGCCAGAATAAAGTATGTCGTTCTTGACAGCTTTGTTATCCAGTCTGCAGGCATGTGACAGAAAATTATTTTTTGGCATGTTCCATTACGCGGACTGGTTCCTTTTGGGCAAAAAACTTCAGTGTATGTCCTCGCGCTAAACAAGAAAGGTAGTGACGTTACGAGTGCATAGATCCAAATGGCGGCAGTGAGCATAAGGTACACTTTGGCACTTCTTGGAGCGAGGCTCTTGAAAGGTCGCATAATGTTTCTGTACCTATCCCAGGCAATCGCAAGCATACTGTTAAATATAGCTGCGGCACAAGCGAGATCAAGACTCGTAAGAATCTTACAAGATAAAGAGGTTCCCCTATGGCCATGAATTTTCCAAACCAACGGAATCGTTGTGTGAAATAATAAATGAGTAACAGACAAGTGGAACACCAGAAAGCAAGAAATATTTTGTCGTATTCTTCCGCCTCGAAGCAAGACATACACCACCGTGACGTTAAGAACTGCACCGCTGGTAAACAAAGCCTTGTAGAGAAACCAAATGGTGACAAGGTCTTCCCGATATTCAGCTTTGGCGATTTTTGTCAAGTTGAAGAATGTTCGATTCATTTTTTTTGGCAAAAAATTCCTCTAAAAAATCCCAGAAGCTCGAAGCTTCACATCAAAACTGGCTCAAAACCCACAAATTTTCACAATGAGGCTTTTTCAGCTTTGTTGAACAGTTTCGTGATCAGCTCACTTCTGAAAGCGGAACAAAAACTCAATAACATATAACGAGAATGAAAGGACAGAAGAAATAAACATTTGACTTAATAAAAAGCTATTTTTATAACAGTGCCGCCAATCAATTCGTAAAAAGAGTAATTTCCAAATGCATGGCCACAGGATGTTCATTTTCTCATTTGCCATAATTTTTGACAGAAGACGTTCAATAAATATATTAAAAAGCTTTTAAAGATTGTCACATCACATCACATTACCTGTATCTCACCTCGGATTTACAAGAGTAGTTGTATAGCTAATTTCTCCGAGAAAGAAAAAAAAACAGAAAACAGAACGTCTGCTTTAAGACTCGCAGTATATTGCATTCACTGAATAGAATATTGGAAATAAAGTAACTTCAGGGTAGAATAACTAATTTACGATGTCCGCATGTTTTTTAAATTAAAGTCTTAACTAATTATCTTTGAACAATAAAGGCTTGCCTGCAATCGACAGATGAACATGAAACTCCTAGGGAGAATACATAAAAGTTTATCCTCAATAATATTTATGAAACTCAGAAGACGGACGAAAAAAAATCCGAATTTTGCACACCATTGTATTTCAGACACTAGATTCACCGCGAGACTATGTTTACGACTGGTTCACCAAAGGCTAAGAAAACCAGAGAGGCCAGACCGGTCAACGGTCAGGCAAGATGGAGGATCGATGTCTCTGAGATTTGTTGAATTTTCCTCGAAATTTTATCGAATCTTAAGTGTTAGTCTATTTGTGCCATATGCAATGCCAAACCTGACAACAGAAAAAAATTCTTAATGACAAACTGCGTCCACTAAGTGAGTAGCTTAAACAAGCGTTGAAGTCAGTCTCTTCGCTGAATACAAAATATGAAAACATCCAAGAGACTCAGACGAAGCTTGAAAAGGATAAAGAGGCCCTATCGAAGGAAAATGGAAGCCTTAAAGCTCAGGCATTGAGTACAGCCAATTATTTAAAGTAAGTTAAAAAGAACGCCCCGAGGAAGACACTAATTACATTATGATTCAGTTAAGCGAGAAAATCGGTGTTCCAACGGAAAGGAAAGATATCTCAGTTAGCCATCAAATACCAAGTGCAAGAAGCTCGGTGGATCCTGCTATGATTGGGGACCTTAAGATACCCCGAACGCGGCCTAGGAGGACGGCAATCGGAAAGAAGGTCACAAGGTTTTGAATTTAATTTGCATAAATGTCACGCCACTTGACGGCCTCCACCTCAGTTGCGGCGGCGACAAAGTTCATTTTGGCGGCTTCTCAGAGAGGGGAGTTTTGCTACTTTTTCTGTTAAAATAACATGATTTGCTAATTTCTAAACCTTAATATAAGGAAATAGATTCAATTTTGTTTTCATAATTAGGGTTTAGCGTGTCTATAGAGGGACAAGTCTTCAGAAAGGAATCCAAAAAGCAGGTAAATTTCCTCGCACCAGAGTATTGCTCTATTTCTTATTTTAACCTTGATTTTTATCTTGTGAAACTAATCAGCGGCAGGTTAAGACGGCTCTAGAGAATGATTTTGCATTATTTGTAACGAAAATAAACGGTGAGGATTTTATACTCACCATCTTTCTTCAACTCTTGTTTCAATAAAAATGGTGCCAAAGGTTTGATTGAAATTCTACTTTTTCTTCCTTTGGTGTGGTAATGGAATGGACAAACAACCACGAACTTGCTCTTGCTCGGGAGGTTTTGTTACTGGCACCGTATTGTCACAAAGCGAGGACAGCTGAAAGGGGAAAAGTGTGGCAAACAATGGCAGAAAACCTTAATTCGCACTCTACATTGAGGTTTCTTGTCACAAAGAAATGGGTAAGGGAGTATCGTAAGCTTTTACTGGACAAGTATCGGACAAAAATGCAGAAGGAATGGAAAGATAGTGGAGTGGAAGTAGAGGAAACAAAGCTGGACCAAGCCCTCGAGGAGATCAACGAGAAGTGGAAAGCAGCGGATGAACAAGATATATTATTGCTGAATAACACTGTAAAAAGACAGATGAAGACAGAGTGATGGGAGAGGACGTCCAAAAAAAGGCGTGCGAAAAGCTGGGTAAAACGATGAAACAGAAAGGAGAAGGTGAGGGTTCGTCAGAGCCGAAGAAGAAAAAGGTCAAGAAAAGGTGGAAATGATACAATAGAGTTTCTGAAGGAAAAAGCAAACATTGATATGGCAATGAAACAAGAAAAATAGAAAGCGAGAAAGGAGGAGCACGAGCGACAGGCAAGGCTTTACGAGCTAGCACTTGCCAATCAACAACTGCAGCAGCAACAGAGCACATGACTTACTGCTGCAGAAACTGTGCAATTTTGGTATTTCTGGTGCACTTTTGAACTGGTGCCATGATTACCTCACCAACAGAGAAGAAAGAGTTGTGATCGACGGAGTGAAGTCTTCTAGTGCTCCATTCCGTCAGGTGTACGTCAGGTCTCATTACTGGGCCCCTTGTGTTCAGTGATTTTTATGAGTGACCTGCCTGAAGTTGTTACCCCAGGGAACTCTGTGCCATTATACGCTGATGACTGTAAAACATCAAGGGTGATTAACTGCCCAGCTGATCATTTTCTGTTTCAGACCGATATTGATAACATTTACAGTTGGAGTCAGCAAAATTGTATGGATTTTAACGTCAAGAAATGTAAGCTTATGCGAATCTGTAAAAAAAGGTCTCCCTTTCTCTCTGACGTACATTTCAATAATAGCACTTTGAAGTTAACACCTGAATTCTGTGATCTTGGACTGGTCACAAACTGCAATCTCTCTTGGAACAATCACATTAATGAGATAACAAGCAAGGCCAACAAGATCCTGAGACTCATTAAGAGAACTTGTGGAGGTCTTGCTTTAGTTAAGTCTCAACTGAAGTTCTTCTCTGTCGTGTGGTTCCCATATCAAGCAAAAACTGAAGTTGGAACGAATACAGCGTCGAGCAACTAAATTTTTTCTAAAAACCACTGATGAATACCAGCAACGAAGAGAAAAGCTAAGCTTGCTATACTTAGAACAAAGGAGGTTTTTGTTTGATGTTTTATTCCTTTACAGAGCTTCAATTGGCCATATAAACATTAACTTATCCATTTACGTCCAGTTTTCACAGAATCCGATCAATACATGCTACGAATAAAAGATGACTGTACACAAAAGAAAAACTATGCAAGAACTAATAATTGCCCCCGCAAGGTTTTTGGCCCCAGAAAGTAAACAGTAGTCAAAGAAAGGAAATTACTGGTTGTAACTAGGGATTTGACTTTTGATTATTTTTAGAGTGATACTTACAACAATCGACGTGTTCAAGAGGTAAGAAAACGTTGTATGATCATTACGTGGGTGAGTGTCACATGTTTCCTCAGTTGGAACAAAGAAACGTTCAGTCACGTGGAAACGAAAAAGCCACTTTATGAATTCAGTTTCAAGTACCCCAGGAACTTATTCTTGTGCGTTGGATAGTTTCCTTGAGATATCATCCCACCTATTTTTACCCTATTTGTCAACACTAACTGCGCGAAATGAATTCACAGAACTCCTTTTCAACACATGTAAAAGATACATTGAGTCATAAGGAAATGATAGAATGTTGAGAGAAATAAGGAAACCAATTTGGGTATATTTACAGCAACAGTGCCCCTCGTTTTTGGCAAGGGATTCTATTGCTCTCAGAGAATCTTTGAATCATTTTGTAAGACCTGCCATGACAATGTAGCTCTCAAAAGCTCTATTTTGGTTAACTATGTGACAAGATCAGCATTACAAAAATGTAAATTGGATCACAATACTTGGCCACATTTTATATCTGCTATTCAAACTGAACCAGGAAAGTTGAATTTTCCTAACTGTGAAACCCCTACAGATGACCCAGTTTCTCTCTCCGGAACTTATGGATTTGATACATTTGTGTGAAAATATGAATGTAGGCTCAAGTGAATATAAGTTAAAGGGGATGGTACGTTGTTATAATGGACATTTTACCTGCGTAGTTCTTACTCAAGGGAAATGGACCTACATTGATGATCTTTGTGTAGGTGTTAAAGAATTCTGTACTTTAGCTGCTCTAAAAAGGCAGTTTTCAAAAGGGTGGTTCTTTGCAATTTATGAAGATAGCAACATGGTTTCCAAACCTGAATCATGTGGAATAGTTAATAAACAAATGAAATCCAATATAGATTTCACTGAGATACCCATTAAGAGAAGATGCTTTAAATCTAACATCACTTTTCAAACACCAATTACGACTATTATGAGGTGCTTACTGAGGAAAGTCGTGCCATGCGCATGTATCCTGATTCCAAAACTGAAATAAAGCAGTCTAAGCAACAAAATATCTTTAAAACAAAGGAGGCAAAGAAACGAAAAATTAAACGTTCAAAACTAGAAAAAAAGAAAAAGGCAAAGTTAGACTCAACAGTGGA